TGTGTGCGCATGTGTGAGGTGTGTGCGTTTATGTGTGTGTATGTGTGTTTATGTGTGTGTGTATGAAGCTCAAAAGACAGCTTTCGAGAGTTGGTTCTCTGTCCACCTTCTTGACGCAGGGTCTCATTGTTTCTGCTGTTCTGGGAGGCACAGGGCCAGCTGACTCCTCACTGCGTGCAGCTGTCCTATGAGGGGGCTTAGGGTTTGAACTTAGGCAGTTGGACTTGGACGGCAAGTGCTTTTATCCACTCATCCATCTTGCAGGTCCTCTTCTCTACTGAAAGTGTCTTTCTTTTGAATCTAGCACATGTCTACTGTAAAGATCAAATGCAGGCGTGCTTAAAGAGGAGTTAGATTTCTTCCTCACTTCTTCCCTTCAAGTGCCTTTCCCTAGGTTGTGAAATGCTGGCCGTGTGACCTTTTCTAAGTTCTCGGTGCATAGTTAAGTCTATGAGTCTCATGTTAACACAGCTGTCAACTTCAGAGGGTCACCCAGGAGACAAACCCTACACTTTTTTTTTTTTACTTGAGAAATAACTTTTAGATTATATTAAATGAAAAGCTTGTCTATGTTATCATGTAACTAGTATCTTGGGTGCTCTTTGAATCGTGCAGTGTGGTGTGGTGGAAAGTGTTGCCTCAGAAATCATGAGATTGGAGATTTTCACCCTGGCTGCTGCATCAACTATGTTTTTAGACAATGAATCGTTGTGACCAGGATGTAAATCTCTTACATGTAAAGTGCAAGACTTTTACTTAATGTCACTCAGGGCCATTTGAACTAAGAAATATATACACACATTTATTCAAATCTCATTATAATTTTTATTATTACTGTGTAGCAGCATCAGGAGTTAAGGTTTTTTTTTTTCTTTTTCTCTTTCTATTTTTTGTTCGTTTGTTTGTTGGAGAAAGGGTTTCTATTGTAGCCTTGTCTGTCCTGGAAATGGCTCTGTAGACCAGGATGGTCTTAAACTCACAGAGATCAGCCGCCTACCTCTGCCTCCGGAGTGCTGGGATTAAAAGTGAGTGCCACCACTACCCCACAATAGTCTTGTGTCAGAAGCAGAATTTGAACCCATGGGTCCATAGGAGATCAGAATCCCCAAAGAGGGAAGCTGAGCTGGAGTCTGGTGTGTTAGATCACTCTGGTAGCCTAACATGTTCTTTTCTCTCTTTTTCTAAAAAAATGATTTCCTTTTTTTTTTATTTTACTGCTGTTTTACCTGAATTTATGTCTATATGAGGGTGTCAAATCCCATTACAGACATTTGTGAGCTGTCATGTAGGTGCTGGGAATTGAACCTGGGTCCTCAAAGAGTAGTCAGTGTGCATAACTTCTGAACCATCTCTCCAACCCCAAGAGTTAGGAATTTTATACCCTTATAAATACCAATGGTAACATTGTTCTGGACAAATCAAGTTAGAATTTATAAACTTGTTTAAAAAAATCACTTTTTGTGTTGGTAAAGGAGATTGGGAAAAGTCACTAAACTGTGACTCATTTTCATGTTTACATTTTATCTGAAAGTGATGACAGTTTGAAATGGGTAAGGTGACATTATTTCCAGGAAAAGTGCTTTTACGCAACTTGGTTAAATCATGTATACTTGGGAGGTCACACAAGAGAAGCTTATTTTGATTTTGGGCAGTTAATGTAAATCTGTGAGGTGTGTAGCTACTACCCTCCTGTGGGAGTTCCAGTCAGGGCACCCCACTTCTTGCTGAGACAGGTATGCACTGAATAGCCCAGGTTGGCCTTAAGCATAGCCCAGGCTGGCCCTAAACTCATAGAGATCTGCTGGCCTCTGCCTCCTGCCAAGGTGTTCTTTTAGTTATCTTGGTGGGCAAAGAACAAATGCCAGTCAGCTTGTAATGATAATATAATACAAATATGTCTAAAATTTGCAGTATAAGCCGGGCGGTGGTGGTGCACACCTTTAATCCCAGCACTCGGGAGGCAGAGGCAGGCGGATCTCTGTGAGTTTGAGGCCAGCCTGGTCTACAAAGGGAGTTCCAGGACAGGCTCCAAAGCTACAGAGAAACCCTGTCTCGAAAAAAAACAAAAAACAAAAAAATAATTTGCAGTATATACTAGAAATTGTGCTGAATGTTATTGATACAGGGGAAATTGGGGTCCCCTTTTGGATATCTCATCAATAAAAGAATTTAAAAATTGACTCAAATGGAATCACAAAGAAAATTTTATTAGTTTAAAAGAAAATATCAGGGCAGGAAAGCTGTAGAACCCCAGCAGCTGCTCAGAGGAGGGGGATGGAAGAGAGAAGGGAAAAGCCATGCTGTGTAACCTGGCTGCAGGTCAGACACACAGCAGAGAAGCAGTCTCATGGGTAGGGTGAAAGATTCAGAGCAAGAGTGAGGAAGCCAAAAATGTTGGGGTGGTGGGGAGCTCAGAGTGTTAAGGAAACTACGCTTCAAAAAAAGAGATAAAAAAGAGAAAAAGGAAAAGGTATATTTTTTTTCTGCATAATTCAGAAAAGTGAGCAGATTTATGACCCCCCCCCCCCCCCGAATGGATACAAGTCATAAATTATAGCACCAGGTGCAGGGATTCTGGGAAGGAAAAGTAAAAAAGTGCAGTATCTCACTAAAGGACTAATTATTCTGCCCATCTCTGTAGCATGGCTTAAGGTGAGCCCTCCTTCTCAGAGATGGTCCCTTAGCCAAAGTGATTGAACTAGCCCAACTGGAATGTTAAGTCTCCATGCAGATGCAGGCCAGAAATTCCATTCTATTGATCAGGTTTTTTTTTTTCTTCCTTTTTTCCCCTACTATAGTATTAGGAAATGATGGGGACCAGAGGCACTGATCAGTAGTTGAATGCATTATGACAAGGACTAGAACAGATATATAAAAACATGTAATCTCAGAGAAGAGACAAGTACCGATCCCATTTAAGACAGGTGAGAAGGGGATGAAGAGATGTTTGAGAGTGCTTGTTGCTGTTGTAGGTTTGGTTCCCAGCACCCACACGGTAGTGCATAGCCATCTGTAACTCCAGTTCCAAGGAATCCAATGCCTTCTTCTGATCTCCGTGGGTACTTGTAGGAAGACACTCATATATAAAGAAGAAAAAAAAATCTTAAAAAGTTGAGGAACATATTCCAGAGAAGTGGCATTTAGGCTAGAACTCAGAACAGAAGAGCAAGATCTGTGCCGTGGACACACATGTTCAGGAGCAGACATAAATCTGGAAGTGAGTGTGGTTGCTTGCACCTGTAACAGCACTCAGGAAGTGGAAACAGGAGGAGCAGCATGAGTTCAAGGCTAGCCTGGCTTAGGGGATGAGCTGCTGTCACAAACAAATCACCACCAACGACCACTGAAAAATTAGGTAACGTGGTCCTTTAAGCTAGAGAGCACAGTAATTAAGATTATGAAAAATGGTGTGCTCTTTATGCTGATATGGAGAAGATCTGTTTTGCTAATATGGTGTGTTATATTTGTTTATTTTAAAATAATAAACCAACTACAAATTCTTGGAGCTAGCTGCTGCTGGTTATAGTATATCATGTCTTACATATTGCAAGAAGGAATGCAAGATTAGGAAGAGTTAGCTATATGACACTGGCAGCCTCTAGGATAACCAGATTTGGAGAGAAAGAATGTAAAACACATACAAGGTGAACCAGGGCCCAGGCTCCTCAGTACGTGATTGTCAGCACTGTTGACATAGAAAGAGGAAATGAAAGAGTACAGTGTGGTGGAGTTGTCACATGACCTAGGCTTCAGCTGAGATCATAGGTTTAGAATTAGAAAACAAGTAATAGATCATTTTCCTGTCTTTTCTCTTTTTAAATTCTTCATCGAGGGTGCATGTATTCTCTTTATAAAATCTTAAAGCGTGGAGAAGTATATGAAATAGAAAATAATAGTTTGAGTTGGGGGGATGTAGCTAAGTTGATAAAATGCTGGCCGAGTTCTCATGAAACTGTGGATTTGATCCCAAACACTGAACAAAATTGAGTGTGGTAGCATGTCCTGTAATTCCAGCACTCTGGTGGCAGGCTGATTAGATCTTCAAAGTCTACTACATAGTGAGATCAAGGCCAGCCTGGACTACATTGAGACCCCATCCCCAAATAAACAAACATCAACAAGCAAGAAATAGTGCAGTTGTTAATTGTAGGTTACATACACTTAATATTTGGACCAGTTCTGCTAAATGTCCCTTCACAGCAGTGTTGGACCAATTTATATTCCTGGCAACAATATTTGAGAGTAGCAAGTCTCCATATCCTTACCAGCTGCTTCTAATTCTTGAGTTTTATTGAGTTTCCTAGGCAAAGTAGATAAACCAGGATAGGTGAACCAGTCAATAAAACGAAATGCTACTGGTGTTTCCTGCCACAAAATGAGCTCAGACTCGGTTTTTTCACCAGCTAAAAGGTTTCTCTAAGTTGTAGCGTTGTAAGTTTACATTTGTGGCGCACAAAGAACATGTTTGTAGACAGAACTGCTCAGACCTCACCATGTGTGGCACATCAGAGTCTTCTTATGCTGGGAAATGCTAGGTAGCTTTTAGCTTTTTTAGCACTGTAATTGGGGCCCATTCTAAATATGGTAGAGTCACTAACAAAATCTACAAAATTGAAAAAAAAAGTTACATTTATTAGATCATGCTTGGGACAATTGCTTATAGTATGAGAACAGACTGGGAAAGCAGAGATTCATTTTGTGCAACCTCTGGTCTACCTTCAGTGACGTTTTCTTTTTGTTTTGGCTAAAGGAGAATTGAATTTATATTTTTAATTTTCCGCTAGAGAGCGACCCTAAGGCCTGACAGGCAGGTACTCTACCACTGAGCATGCGTTTCCCATGACTCAAGATAGCTAGCCAAGCCGCAGAACGCAGAACGTTTCTACGTTTTAGCTGCACTCGGTCAACTAGCGCCGCCCAGAGGTTAAGCGCAAAGCCGAACTCGAGCGGAAGTGACGCAGCGGAAGCCCGTCGGGCAGCTCAGCCCGCCCCCGCCTGTGCCCCGCCCCCGCGGCGCTAGCGGAGCCAAGATGGCGACCGAGCTGGAATACGAGTCTGTGCTGTGTGTGAAGCCTGACGTCAGCGTCTACCGGATTCCGCCGCGGGCCTCGAACCGCGGCTACAGGTACTGAGCCGGGTCTGCGCCCGCCGGGGGGGACGGGTGTGTCCTTGGGCAGCACGCTTGGGCCCGCGCCGTTGCCTCCGAGCGGTCTCCTGCCTAGCCTGCCAGCTAGGCTGCCAGCGTCTCTCCCCACTTGTCTGTTTTGCTGGAACTGTTATTTTGTTTTACGTTCTTGCTGCCTTCATGCATCACTCCACCTGTCCTCCCCACCCCCCTTGGGACATCGTCTGCTCGTCGTCATCCATTCATGCCTGCTCCATCTGTTACACTTCCTGCGACCTTTGGCTTGTAATCCTCCACGCGCGTGTGCACACGCACACAGCACGCGCTCGCTCCTGCTCTCCTCCACCCCCCCCCCCCTTCTGATACTCCCAGCTCACGCAGTGATGATGACCGCTGTTTGTATGATATAAGGATCTAATTTAATTTACACTGTTGCCATTCTCGCCAAGTGTCATCCTCATTCACCGTTCGGATTTTCCTTGAGGTTTTGTGTGCGTGTGCGCGTGGGCTCTTGTGCGCGTTTGTGTGTGGGGTAAACGTTAAGATCCTGTTTTCCAATGATTAGCCATTGCGTTTCTTTTCATTTTGTGTGTGTGCGTGTGTCCACATTATAGCTTTTGATTATGTAGGGATTCCTGCCATCCTTCCTCCTGGTCATCTCTCCTATAGCTTTTTCAGAGTCAGGGGGGCATTTTTGCCTCATAGGGCCTGACACCCCTGTAATCCCGTGACTGAGGGTTTGAGGATGTAGGATGCTAATGGGGTTCAAAGAGAATTCATTGGGATTTTGTTGAAAACTGTTGAGTCTGTGCCCTGGATGGTAAATAGCTTTATAATTTATGAACCAATCTCTTCACTTCTCCAGGTCTTAGTTCTCTCATTTGTAAAGTAGGAAAAGTAATGTATCCTGTGCACGTATGTACTTCACAGGGTTTTGTTTCTTTTTCTTTGCTTTTTTTCTTTTCTCTTTCTCTCTGTTTTTGAGGCAGGATTTCTCTGAGTAGCCCTGGCTGCCCTGCAGCTCACTTTGTAGACCAGGCTGGCCTCAAACTCATCTGTCTGCCTCTGCCTCCCAAGTGCTGGGATAAACGCCACGCGCCACTGCCCAGCAACAGGGTTTTGTTTTCTTCATGATGTATTTATTTTATATATATGTATGGGTGTTTTGCCTGTATGTATGTATATATCTATATACCTTGTACTCATGGAGGTCAAAAGATTGCATCAGATTTCCTGGAACTGGAGTCATGGATGTTTATGAGCCACTACATGGGTGCTGGCAACTGAACCCTGATTGCCAGAGCAAGAGCAACAAGTGTTCTTAACCACGGAGCCATTCCCCAGCTCCCTCTCAGGGTCTCTCTCTCTTTCTCTCTCTTTCCTGACTGATTTACCATCATGGCTTTTCTCTTGGTGCTGGAAAGTTTTCTTCTCCACAGCTCCATTTGCTTCTTCCCCAGAGGTTCATTCATCAATAATCAGTAGTTGTGTTTGCAGACCTATGGGCCCATGGGTTGTATCCTTTGGCAGAGGTAGTTTTCAAGGCGCCGTCACTGAGACTTGACATGCTTCTTGATGGTAGTCACAGGTACTGTATCATGACCCCATCATACACATTGCCATCTGTGAGACGCTCTATCTGACCCATTTTGGTTTAGGGCAGCTCTGTGTGACCGTCCACAGCATTTTAGGCTTGCTTCCATCGCTGCTCTAATGGGTGGTTTAGTTTTCTGTTCTCCAACTTGAAGTCTGTTAAACTTTGCATCTGTGTGAACTAGCAGGACTAGCATAGTGTCTGGCACATAGTAGGTACTCAGGAAATGCTTACTGAAAGAAGAAATTGGGAGTCATCTCTCAGCAGATAAGGCTCTTATAACAGCCGAAAGACCCGAGTTTGATTGCCCCCAATCCAGGTAAAGGGAGAAGAGAAGTAACGTCGCAGACTGTCTTCTGACTGCCACATATGTGCTGTGGCATGCCTGTGCCCACACACATGCAACACCATACACACATGGATTAAAAAAGAAGAAATTGGGAGTATGTAACCAACACAATCACATATGCTAACAATGGCTGTACTGCTAAGTAAACTATCTCATGACTTCCTTTAGGGGTTAAGACTTCCAGAATGGTATCATATTCACTGACGTCCTCAATTTTCCTTTTACGTCAAGCCTTTTACACTCTCCTGCCTCTATCCCCTACCCCCGTACCCCACCCCTAGCCCCTGCTCCCCCACAGTCTCCTTTACTTCCTAGTTTATTCACAGCCTTTATCCTCTCAAAGGACACTACATTGTCCCATCAAAGCAGTTTCTTCATTTTTCTTTTTCCCCTTTATCTTTCTGTTTCCTATGCATATTTTGACATTTCTTATTATCTAAACATTCTGTCATTTCTTTTTCTTTGTTTTGTTTTATTTTTAGAGACAGGGTTTCTCTGTGGCTTTGGAGCCTGTCCTGGAACTAGCTCTTGTGGACCAGGCTGGCCTTCAAGTCACAGAGATCCCTCTGCCTCCCTAGTGCTGGGATTGAAGGCGTGCGCCACTGCCGCCTGGCCTTATTACTTTTATAGAACAGTGACTGAAAACAGAAAAATGAAATTCAAAGCTGGGAGTGGTGATATACATGTGTAATCCCAGCCCTTGAGGGGTAGAGGCACATGGGTCAGGAGTTTAAGGCTGTCCTTGGCTATAGGAGACTCACTCTGTTTTAATATCCGAAACAAAAACAAAACAGGTCTAGAGAAAAGACTCAGCGCTTAAGAGCTTTCTTTCTCTGTAGAGGACCTAGGTTCAGTTCCCAGCACATACAGTGGGCGGCTCAAAACTGCTTGTAACTCTGGTTCAGGGGATCTGAAACCTTCTGGCCTTCAGTCACCTGTACATAAAGAAAAAAAAAACCCAAACTTTTTACACCCCTCCCCCGAAAAAACCCACCACAAGTCAAAGTGAGTTTAACTTTATTTTGTGGGAAAGTCACATCTTGAACTTTGAAGATGAACATACTGATACTTAGCATTCAAGACGTGCTCACCTGGTTGTCATAAGAATGTGTGTAACATATGCGTGTAATGTATGTAATGGCATGGAGAAGACGCGTGATGGTTATTACCTTTCGTCATTCCCTCTCCTTTATAAATGCATTTTGATTGCTAAGGTAAATGAAAAACTGTGAGATTAGTTGTACTTATGTTTTACACAGGTTCTCCCAGTGAAATCCTCTGGCTCCAAACTCCCAGAGATTTGCCTGCCTCTGCCTCTCAGTTGGTGGGACTTAAGGCTTTTGTCCACACCTGGCCTATGAGGTTTGCGTATAGTATTGTTAGGAGACCAGCAGAACCAAGAATTCTTTAGGGATTTTAGAGAGGGAGAGGAATTAAGGATCAAAGATGAAGGAAATTGCTGGCGTGTATCTGTTTATTTATTGAGAATTTGTTAACTATTTAAAGGTACTATATATACAAGATAAAATTACAAGGTACCTGTCCAAAGAAATACATCTAATATGCTTGTTCCTAATATTTCCCGTTTATTTTATTTCTGACTGTCAGTGATATGACTGCAAAAATAATGATTTATTGAAAAAATTAATAGGAGCAAGCAAGATAGCTCAGTGGGTAAAGGTTCTCGTTGGCAAGCCTGATGACCCGAGTCTGATTCCTGGGACCCACGTGACAGGAGGCGAGAAGACTCGTGCAAATTGTCATCTAGTTTCCACTGCATTTCATGGCGTGTGTACACCTCCACCCCAAACAAACAGACAAACAAGAAAGCAAGGAAATGTAATTTTTAAAAAAGTGAACCCATGAGGACTTGTGGGATGTTCTAATCTGGATCCGACTCGGTGCTTAAGATTATCTTTGAAGGTAGAGCATCAAGGGATGACAGTGCTGACCTTTCAGTCCTGCTCAGAAGCTCTGCTGGGCTGGGGTCGTATGGTGGAGCGCTTACCTAACAAACTGAATCCTGGGTTTGATCCTTAACGCTGCAGTGATAATCCTCTAGTTTTTGTTAAGTTTTCCTTTTAACTTACTGTCTTACTAAACTTTCTCTTGTTCAGATATATGGTGTTCTGTCTTTTTTTCTTGTTTTATTTTGAGACAACGCTTTAGTTTTGTAGCTCAGGCAAGCCTCACACTCCTTGAGGTCACACTATTCCTGCTTTTAATTCCTCAAGGACGTTAGGCAGCGCACCATCCTTTTCAGTCTTCGGGTTCATAAGAGATAAATTATTAACATATTTCCCCTTTTCCACACCCTTAACAAAACATACCTGAATTCAGTGTTTTGTAGTCTTGGTTATAAGTAACATGTTATATTTTACATATAAACACATATAAATGATAACAAGTGTCGCTTGGGCTTTCAGATGGTTGGTAAACAGTGATTTACCTTGCAGATGTCTTTCCTGAACTGTGCTCTCATATACCCAGCTGTCTGCTCCTATACATCTCAGTGAAGCATATTGAAAATGCTAACTCCATTGGCCCAGAAGGGTCCACAAATAGCCTTCCTTATTTTAGTCATGTGGCCTGTTTGCTCAGGCAGGACAGTTTGGAGTTCTCCTCTACTTCTCTTTGTCCTGGTCCCCACACCTAAATTAGCTTCAGAAACTGCCCTTGCCTTTACAGCTGGTGGCTTCGGCTCCCGTCTCTCCCAGGCCCTCTCTGACTCATTGCAGCGTTCTTAACTAATTGCCTGCTTCAGCTGTCACAGCCCCACATCTCTTTCCCACACAGCAGACAAAGTAATCCCTGTAGGATCCCAAGAGGACTGGGTCACATATCTGTCTAGAACCTGGAGCTAATTTTCACTCAGTGTAAGAGTTGTAGTGCTTCTGATGGCTTGCAAGGTCCTGTATGGTTTGGCTTCTTTTTCTTCTCCCAGCAAGCATGTTTTCACCTTTCAGCACCTTTGCCTGAGCCCTGTGCGCACAGTGTTTCCCCTCAGGCACCCAGAGGGAACCTTCACCTATCCTACCTTTTTTAAGTGTCTCCTGAGCCACAGGCTTTGGAACAGGATTCAGTGTCAGGCCTGAACTCCTTGCTATGGAGCAGGCCTCAGATCCAATCTAAAAGCAGGTGGTTGTCTCCATGACCTATGTGCCACCTCTTAGTCCACATTTTTGCCCAGCATTTAACCTTCTTGGTGAGGCTACCAGGACTCCTCCTTTTTGATGGTGTTGGGAGTTGAACCCAGGACTTGGTGCATACTAAACAAGACTTGACCTCTGAGCTTTGTTCTCAGCTTCCTGTTCACTCTCTTGAATCCTGTAACCTGTCTCCATTGTCCTCCTAGGCTTTCTTATCTGCCTCTACGTTTCTTTCTCACCTTAACCTAAGATACTTATAGTATTATTTATTATGTTTCCTTTTTGTTGTTTGCCTTCTGTTCAAATGCAACTTTCTGAGGGGAAGAAGGTTTATTTGCTGTTATATTCTGCTGTTATATAGCCCCCCCCCCCCCCACTTAGTAAGTACCCTGTAAACACTGGTTGAAATCAATGAAAGATTATATGGTTAGTGATTTCGGAAGCTTCTGTTACTCAGACTATTTCATCTAGCAGATGGACCTTATTGTTCCCTGAGTAATGAAGCACCATTGGATAGAAAGTCATCTCTAGGTAGGAGAGTAGCATCATAAGAGAAACTGTATTTTTAGAATTTTTTTTTGAGATGGGCTTACTATGTAGAATAGGGTGGCCCTGAATCACAGAGGTCTGCCTGCCTCTGCTTCTTGAGTGCTGGGTTTAAAAGCATACACCTTGAAACCCAGCTTAATTTTTATTCTGGTGTTGGGGATCAAATTAAGGGTTTCATAGTGACCAAAGCAAGACTGGAAACCAGCTGGGCAGATTTCAGACTCTGCATTTCCATGTCTGATGGAAAATGCTCAAAACGCTCTTCATATCTCCAACTCAGTTCAGCATTGTTGACTGCAACACACTTTGTTCTCTTGGGCTGGCTCCAGTCCCTGTTAGCAGCTTTCTTCGGCAGGTGTCCCACGACTCTCCATCTCTCATCTTGGGTTCTCTAGGGCAATCACAGCTTCATGTAATGGCCTCTGTACTAGGTCTCCATTCAGTGACACCCTCATACATTCCTGGCCTGAGCGGCTTTCCTTAGGCATGGAGGCCAATTCCATGGCCCTGTTCTTCTATCCTTAACTCCAGAACCATGTGACTGAAGTAACCAAGTTCTGCTTTCTTTTCTGTCCTTCACTAAGCATGGCTGTCTTGAAACTCGCTCAGACTCAGGGATCTGCCAACCTTTGCCTTTCTAGTGCTGGGATTAAACGTGTTCCCTTGTAGAAGGAGCAGCGGGCTGCGTTTCTGCTGCCTGGCTAGCTTATGCCCTAAAATAACACACAAATAGTATTCATTTAAACACTGCTTGGCTCATTAGTTCCAGCCTCTTATTGGCTAATTCTCACATCTTGCTTTAACCCATATTTAGTAATCTGTGTAGCACCACAAGGTGGTGGCTTACTGGGAAAGATCTTAACTTGCATCCATCTCAGAGAGGAGAGCTATGGCATCTGCCTCACTTCCCTTCTTCCCAGCATTCTGTTCTGTCTTCCCCGCCTACCTATATTCTGACCTATCAGGCCAAGCAGTTTTCTTTATTAATTAACTAATGAAAGCAATAGATAGATAGAAGACCCACCTACATCAGTTCCCCACCACTCCTGGCTCTAAGCTTTTCTTCAGTTCCTTTTCACAAGCTGGGAATTTAGCTGGGTGGGATCTTGCCCTGAGATCACCATGCCTATATTCCATTTCTTAATCCATTTATCTCCTTGAACACAAGACTTAGCTCCATTCTACTTCCTGGGGCTTATTTTCCGCCTCAAAATTTACATTTTGTTATTTACCCTGGTCAGCTTGCTTCTTTTTATTATAAATCTTTATAAGCATGAAAACTAGTAACCGCACAACAGAGTCTATACGAGGCTGTTTTGAGATTTCTTCTGTCAGCGGAATTAATCCGAAATTCTTCACTTTAGCCTCAGGCAGATTCTTTGGACAAGGGCAAAAGGCAGCAACTTTCTTCACCAAAATATCACAAGAACAATTTCTAGACAACATACTAAAATTCTCCTCCTCTGAAGGCTCCTCTTGAGTGAGCCTCCAACAGTTCAAATCACTCTTGGGACCTCTGTCTTCCATGCCTATACTAATACGGCTCATTAAGCAGTATTAAGGCACTCCACTGCTTTCCAAACCCAAAGTACCAAAGTCAGGCCAATCACAGCAGTGTCCCAGTCTCTGTGGTACCAACTCCTGCCTTAGTTAGGGTTTATATTGCTGTGAAGAGACACCGTGACCATGGCAACTCTTATAAAGAAAACATTTAATTGAGGTGATTTGCTTACAGTTTCAGAGGTTTAGTTCATTATCATTGTGGTGGGGAGCATGACAGCATTCAGGTAGACCTGGTTACTGGAGAGGGAGCTGAGAGTCCTACATCTTACAGGTAGCAGGAAGTTGACTGAGACACGGGGTGGTATCCTGAATATAGGACACCTCAATGCCTGCCCTACAGAGACACACTTCCTCCAACAAGGCCATACCTAGTTCAACAAAGCCATATCTCTTAATAGTGTCTCCCTGTGAGATTATGGGGGCCAGTTACATTCAAACTACCACAGGGTTTCTCTGGCTAATCCTGGAAATTGATTTATAGACCAGTGTGGTCTTGAACTCACAGAGATTCACCTGTGCTGGGATTAAAGGCCTGTACCACCAGGCCTGCATTAGACAGTAACCACCAGGCCTGCATTAGACAGTAGAACATGAGGCCTCAGGTTAAGGGAGCTTGAGTCATTTCTCATGATTATTTAATTGACAGAAAGAATAGGCCCTCTAGCACAGGAAAACAGTGAAACCTCAGCACCCAAAAGGCAGAGGCGGGTGGGTTTCTGAATTCAAGGCCAGCCTGATCTACAGAGTGAGTTTCAGAATAGCCAGAGCTACACAGGAAACTAAAACAAACAAACAAACAACAACAACAACAACAAAACAAAGAATTGCCTTTTTCCTTTCACAGGGCGTCTGACTGGAAGTTAGACCAGCCTGATTGGACTGGTCGCCTCCGCATTACTTCAAAAGGGAAGATCGCCTACATCAAACTGGAAGATAAAGTTTCAGGTAAGCGCTGGGCGCCCTCAAACTGGGAGTGCTGGGCTGCTGTGCTTTTGTCAGTGACCGCAAATTGGGACTGGCATGGAGTTAATCGGAGTTAGCATTTCTGCTGCTGCTCAAGGAGCTCTCTTTCTTGCTGTTAGGGGAGCTCTTTGCTCAGGCGCCAGTAGAACAGTACCCTGGTATTGCTGTGGAGACAGTGACAGACTCCAGCCGCTACTTTGTGATCAGGATCCAGGATGGTACCGGTAAGGGCGCTGGGGTTTTCAGTGGGGTCAGGTCAGGAAATCGTGAGCACACGCTAATGAAATTGTGTCCCTTTACAGCTCTCGTCCTTTGGTACCTTTTCTTCCCTCATCAAAGTTACTATGGTTATCAGAGGAAAGACTAACATTTTATAGATGTGAGCATCAGTTCAATTGAGTTTAAGTTAAATTAATCACAACGCATATTTAGCAATAGAGAACATGTTATAATTGCTGTGGTGGCTTTTGATGGGGTTGTCTTGGATTTGAAGGGCAGTAGTTCTCAGCCCTCCCTCCCTCCCTCCCTCCCTCCCTCCCTCCCTCCCTCCCTCCCTGTCTATTTAGAGTCATTATGTAGGGCAGTAGTTCTCAGCCATTCATATTTATTTATTTATTTACTCACCCACTCACTTACTATTACCTTGCAGTGTATGCCAGACTGGCCTTGAATTGAGAGATTGGCCCACCTTTGCAGGGATTAAATATGGGTACCACCCACCATGCCCTGTCCCTTCATACTTTTTAATAGGTTGGCAATCAAAGACAATGAATACTTTTGGCTTTGTTGGTCAAGCTGTAACTGCTGCTCCCAGTTTGGTGGTTGCAGGGTGAAGTAGCCGCAGACATATCTTTCGGAGTCGATGTGGCTGTATTTCAGTGTAACTTCTTGTTCAGGCTTATGCTGTAAAAGTCTTACCTTTCGGCTGTGTGTTATCGCTGAGCAGATTTTAGCAGTTTGTGTGACATGATAGGCAGAAGTTGCCATAAGGAAGACGTTTTCTGAAATTCCTCCTTTTCACAGGCCGAAGTGCGTTTATTGGCATTGGCTTCACAGATCGGGGGGATGCCTTCGACTTCAATGTTTCGCTGCAAGATCACTTCAAGTGAGTGAAGCTTGTCCTTAGACTTCAGGGTAAATAATTATGGGGTGTGTGGGGGGGTGGTGGCTGGGTGCTGCTGCTGACCAGGTGGTCCTCTTGTCTGTCTTTACCTTTTCCCCGTGCTTGTTCCCGTCTTTCCGTGAGCATGTAATATATCTTGGATCCTTGTGCGGTGGTTTGTGTTGATGCTCATTCATAACTGTGGGGAGTTTGCCCTTGCTTTTAGAACGGTGGTGGTGGGGGCACACAGCAGCAGCAGGCCTGTGCATGAATAGGTGTGCCCGTGTGCCCGTTCTGTCAGTTCACAGCCCGTGTGCTCTGTGCGTGCATTTCTTCAGCCCAGCTGGGTTTGGCCTAGCTGTAGTGAGCAGCACTGAGCGCCACATCACTTCCCATCTCTAGGACAGGGTAGCTGTCTTTATTGTTCAGGACTCTGGAATTTAACGCCCAGAGATGGAACCTGCAAGAACATGGTAGCACACATGTCCTGTGGGGCAGTGCCCTGCCGCGGGGCTGCACCTACCATGCATTCTGTGTTGCTCCTCAGTCTGAACCCAGCTGGCCTCTCTGGGATATTTTTTCCCTTTTCTCTCATGTCTTATGGGTCCCCACTTTGGAATTCCAGTTCATCTGAGTGAGATAGAGTCAGATTTGTGTCAGATTCTGCTTCAGGGAATTCCAAACTGAGATAAATTATTTCCCCAAAGGTGGGTAAAGCAGGAAACTGAGATTTCCAAAGAATCTCAGGAGATGGATAATCGTCCCAAGTTGGATTTAGGCTTCAAGGAAGGACAGACCATCAAGTTGAGTATTGGGGTAAGTGTGATTTCTTTATTTTTATTTTATGCATATGAGTGCTTTCCTGCATATGTGTTCATGCATCATAGCCCAGAAGAGGGTGTTGAATCCTCTGAACTGCAGTTACAGATGGCTGTTAGCTGCTCTGGATGCTGTGGTGGTGCTGGGATTCAAACCTGTGTCTTCTGGAATAGCAGCCAGTGCTCTTTACTGCTGAGCCATCTCTCCAACCCTTGTTTTCTTTTGGGAGACAAAGTATCACTGTATAGCCCTGGTTGGCCTGAAACTTGCTGTGTAGCTCAGGCTAGCCTTGAATTCACATATTTGCCTGCTTCTGCTACCAGAGTGCCGGGACTAAGGTTGTCTGCTGACTCAGTACCAGCTTTGTTTTCAAAATCATTTTCCTATTATTCTTTAGGTCAGTGATCTCTCTTTCCTCTCTCTCTTTCTCTCTCCCTCTCTTTCAGAACATTACAACCAAGAAAGGAGGTGCTTCTAAGCCCCGGGCCACAGGGACTGGAGGCCTGAGCTTACTCCCACCTCCACCTGGAGGCAAAATCACTATTCCCCCACCATCCTCAGTTGCCATCAGCAACCACGTCACCCCACCACCTATTCCAAAATCTAACCATGGAGGTAGTGATGCAGGTAAATCTGATATAACTTCGAAAGTAACTTACTGAGTAAGGCAGTAATCCAATTATCCTTTTTTGTTTGTTTGTTTTTCTTTTTTCTTTTTTGTTTTTGGTTTCTCAAGACAGGATCTCTGTGTAAGTCCTGATGTCCTAGAGCTCACTCTGTAGATCAAGCTATCCTCACACTCAGAGATCTGCCTGCCCCTTCCTCCCAAGTGCTGGGATCAACTTAGTCATCAAAGCTTAAAAACTTGTGACTATAAAGCTGAAGATTAATTTTTTAATGAAACTTTATTTTGAGAATTAGAGATTCATACACAGTTATAAGAACTAATGAAAGGAAGTAGGTGTGATGGTACACACCTCAAATCCCAGCCCTTTGGAGGTAGAAGCAGATCTATGATTCAGAATGACATACTTCCATGTCAGCCTGAACTATTGGGACTTTGTCTCAAATTAAAAAAAGAGAGAGAGAGAGAGAAAGAAAGAAAAGAATCTTGTATGCTCTTTGTTCAGTATCCCTCACCATATCATCTTATAAAACTTGCTTTGATTGTCACAATCAGGGAATTGACATTATCTAATCTTATCAAGTTTCTCATTCTGTGTGCGTGTGTGCATAGGCCGGTGCCTGTGGTCTTGTGCAGCTTTGCCCTGTATAGGTTCATGGATCTGTTGTGATGGTTAGGCTGCAGAACAAGTCTGTATCACTTTGTCTTTTACTTTAAAAGATTTTAAATTTATTTATTTATTTATTTTAAAATATTTATTTATTTATTATGTATACAATATTCTGTCTGTGTGTATGTCTGCAGGCCAGAAGAGGGCACCAGACCTCATTACAGATGGTTGTGAGCCACCATGTGGTTGCCAGGAATCGAACTCAGGACCTTTAGAAGAGCAGGCAATGCTCTTAACCACTGAGCCATCTCTCCAGCCCCAAGATTTTAAATTTATTAATATTAGGGTTTTTTTTTTATTTTTTGAGACGAGGTTTCTTGTGTAGCCTTGGTATCCTGAAATTCACTCTGTAGACCAGGCTGGCCTCTAACTCAGAAATTCTCCTGCTGCCTTCTGAGTGCTGGGATTAAAGGTGTGTGTCACCACCATTCAGCTAAGATTTATTATTTTTAAAGTGAGCGCAGGTGCCTCAGAGGCATTGGGCCCGTGGAGCTGGAGTTAGAGATGGTTGTGAGCCATCTTTGGGGCTGGGAATAGAACTTGGGTCCTCTGGAAGAGCAACACTTAAGTGAGAGAGTACTCTTAACCAGTGAGCCATTTCTCTAGCCTCACTGTTAGGATCTTTGGTGTCACCCTTTTATAACCATACCCCTGTGAGCCTTCCTTCTCCCATCCCTGACTCTTGGCAATCTCTCATCTGCTTTGGGTTTATATAAAGTTTGTGTTTTAGGAGTGTGAGGTAAGTGGAGTCATACAGTATGTAAACTTTTGGGGATTGGCTATTTTCACTTAGTGTGTGTAAGTCTCTAGAGATGTACCCCCAAGTTGTCCTATATGTCGAGTTTTTTCCTTTTTATTGCTGAGAATGTTTTTACTGCAGTGTTTTTAGCCATCACCTAAGAGCATCTGAACGGTCTCTAGTGTGAGCGATTATAAAAAAAAGTTGCTGTGACCTTTGAGTATAGGTTTCACTGTGAACATATGATTAAACCACCCCCTGTTCAGATATCCTTCGGGTGTAGGTTTCCCTGAGAACATATGATTAAACCACCCCTTCTGTTCAGATATCCTTTTAGATTTGGATTCCCCTGCTCCTGTCATGACTTCAGCACCAGCGCCAGTTTCTACAAGCAGTGACTTGTGGGGAGACTTCAGCACTGCATCCAGGTAACGGGCACAGTGCACCCAACAGCCTCTCCCTTAGGGTGTAGGCCAGTGTGGTTCTCAGCCTTTCAAATGCAGTTTCTCAGGTTGTGGTGACCCCCAACCATAAAATTATTTTCATTGCTACTTCATGACTGTAATTTTGCTACTGCTAGGAAGCATATGTAAACATCCACTCTGTGACCCCTGTGAAGGTGTTGTTCAGCCCCCATAGGGGTCGTGACGCACAGGTTGAGAATGATGCTGTAGAGGAATATGTAGTCAGGGAAGCAAATGCCATCATGTGGGATTCAGTACGAGTTCCCGGGAGGAACTTGGGAAGTGGAGTTCATGTGAAGAGCTCTTTCAGACTTTCTCATGTAGTGTCTTGGCGACTCGGAAGTGACTGGACTCTCATACTGATGTGCTCTCTTGGCTTCTGTCTTTTCCCCTGTCCTGCAGCTCTGTTCCGAACCAGGCGCCACAGCCGTCCAACTGGGTCCAGTTCTGAGTATCATTGGCAAGATGTTAAGGACACACTTGAAGAATAAATGACCTGGAGGGCACCGTTCTATGAGGGAGTTGAGGGACCGCTTCATTTCCCAGAACCAAAATCAGTCGACAATCTTTTCCATAGCTTCTCTGTTGCTTTCAGGCTGGATTATTTTGTTACCTCTGTGTTACTTGCTGTATAAGCCAGGAGACCAACTGCTGTTTCCTGCTCACAACTGAGGCAGGGGAGTAGTGGAAATTATCACACTGACCGACTGTGCAGAGTTCAGAAAGCCACCTGTGAGAATAAGAGTGACCTCTGACATATGTAAATTCTTGAACTTATTTCAGAATCATCTCATGATTCCTGTGTATCTGTTTGTGATGCCCTAGTTAGCAGTTTCAGGAGAGACAATGCCTGTAATGGTCTTTCTCGTAACCCGAGACTATAAATGGGCAGACTGGCCTCCACACTTAACCATGTTAGGATTTTCATGAGAGTAGGTTTGTGGAAAGCCGTATCCGGCTCTCTTCTGTAAGGCCTCCTTCAGGCTTACCCTATTCAGTGAGCATCCGGTGAGCCGCAGCACCACCACCGCCTTGTGTGTTTACGTCTTTTCCTCTGATGAAAGGCTCGGGTTGGTGGCGCCCCACGGTTTTCTGCATGTTGGATAGTGCAGCATCTTTGACGGTGGCTGTTTCTGAGATGAAGGAGATGGAGGCTGTGCTTTCCAAGTTGTAGTCTGCAGAGGCGTTTCTGCTGCATTTGAAGCATAGCATTAACTTTATTCACCCCATGTTTGACCTAAGGTAAGCATTTTAACGTGATGTGTAGAGCAGAGAGGGGGAAGCACTTAGCTCTCATGCAGTACCACATGCCTTGCTGCCTGGTCTGGAGCCTTGTCGTTAGCATTTCCTTTAGTCCACTTAGCTGGTCCATGAAAGCTGCTATTAGATTATTGTCAGTGTGAAGGAGGCTGCGCCACAGCTTTATCTGTGACAGCCTCTGCCCCAGACTTTGATCCCCAGCTAGGATATCTTAAGCAAGTTTCCGTCCTATCACTTCCCCGTCCTCTGCCCACCATTCCTTTTACAATACTGTGAAGAGGGTCCTGTTCAGGTCAGTGGGTGCTGTCCGTTTGTGTGCTGGGCAGTTTGAGGATGAGGGTGGGATGGGAGGATTTACCTTCTGGGAGCACTGTTTGGATATGTACATTCTGGCTGAAGAGGGTTCTTACATTTAACTTCAAACACATTATTTCCTCTGGATATTTTTCTTAGCTTTTTCAGACTTGGGGTCCATTTGTTTGCATTGCCATCCCCTTTCCAGGCAGCTCTCTTTTCGCAGAGCCATGGCAGGACAATTAAGGTTCCAATAAGAACACTAAGAGGAAAATATAGAAAATATAGTGACTATTGGGAAACCTATTTTCTCAATCTTCCTCCATTTTGTGTTATTTGTATTCTTAAGATGATACTATATTATGTATTTGAATTACTGAAAATTGAAAATGAAGTTGAAGATATATGTATATAAAGCGTATGCTGTATTGGTGCAATAATGGTAATTAAAGATATGAAAAAAAAGGTGTTTTTTTCGTCTTTTGGTTTATGTCCTATCTCTCTCTACCAGTGGTAGGAATTAAACCCAGGGCTTTGTGCATGCTAGGCAAGCGATTTGCCGCTTAGATACATTTCCAGCCCTGTTTGTCTTTGTAATTTAACTGGCCCAGGACAAAAGGGCCAGTAATAAGAGGGCACATGCACTTGTCACTCTTAAGAAACAAGACTATGGCAGACATTTATCATTCAACCCCTCCCCTTTAATGCTCACTATCCAGGACCACTCAAGTAGAGGAATACAGAACAGGGCTTTGATGGTCACAGTACCAGATACTTTGGATATGGCATCAGAAGCACAGACACAGAAGTAGCTCAGTTGATAGGTGCTTCTGCATGTGCACAGAGCCTGGGTTCAGGCCTCAGCACCACGTGACACTGGGCATGCTGGTGCGTGCCTGTGATCCCAGCACTCGTGGAAACTGGAGCAGGAGGACCGGAAGTTCATCATCTTGGCTACATAGCGAGTCCAAGAAGCAAATAGGGAAAGTTTCCGTGTAGTGTTCGAAACACTCAGCAAAGAAGACAGCATGAGGAAAATTGCGAATTATGAGTAAGGGTGATCACATCCAAAAAGTATAAGGAATTCTTATCACTCAAGCAAAACAATAAAATAATCTGCCTTGAAAAATGGTCTAAGGATGGGGCTGGAGAGAAGGCTCAGTGGTTAAGAGCACTGGCTGTTCTTGCAGAGGTCCTGAGTTTAATTCCCAGCAACCATATGGTGGATCTCACAACCATCTGTAATGAGGTCTGGTGCCCTCTTCTGTCATGAAGGCATACGTGCAGGCAGAACACTGTATGTAATAAATCTTTAAAAAAAGTTGTTCTCTGACTCTCATATTAAAAAAAATGGTCTAAGGACCCATGATACATGGTTTTGAAATGATTCTAAATACCTGCTGTACCCGAGTGATGTGCTGGTATGGAATGTGACCCCTCGTGAGAGTGGCACACTTGTCTCTGCTGCTGAACCTGAAGACAAGCCCAAGGTTTTCCCAGAGATTAGGAGTTTAGACTGTAGCAGAGTTGTTGTCTGGCAGCCTTTAAAGGGTCCTGTATAATCTCAAGGTTTGGTAGAATCATGCACCCTTTGTGCTGGGTTTCCTCTGTTGGTCAGCCATACATGTCTTTGTTCCTTGTTGCAGGATATTTGATCATCCTGTGGAACCTGAGATTATTTATTGGAAAAACTTGTTTCTAGTTGTGTGGCTCAGCCGTAGCACACACCTTTAATCCAGAATTTTCTGCTTGAATATTGTAAACAGGATTAAATAAAATCAGTGATAGGTCAAGAGGTGGAACAAGCAACAGGAAGTGAAGATAGGATTGTTAAGAAAAAAACAGAGTAAGAGGGAGTCAGGATGGATAGAGAGATGCCCAGAAGTAGAAGGGAGGGACATTCAGTTTGAGGAGTTTGAGATGGTGTGGGAGGAGGAGGGGCAGCTGGGTGCTTCTCTACCTCTGAGCTAGGAGGCTTTGACCCCAAGTCTATCGGTAAAATCAAATGATTGAGATTTTGTTAAGAACAGTGCCTCAAACTTCAACCCAGCTTTCCATGCACAGAGCCCAGCTTCCATCCTGTCAAGGGGCTTAAACTTTAAGCACTGGAATTTAAACATTGAAATTGGCTCATTTTTAACCTCTGTGTTTAATTTCTCTGTCCAGTGTTCCCACACTCAAGGCATTATGAAAAGGAGAAAACATGTTCTTACTGTATGGACGTAAAGCATTGTTGAACCCTAGAATCCAATCACCGAGGAGGAGTCGCCCCCCCCCCCCCCAGAGACTGTCTCTCACCACCACAGCTGATGTAAAAGCATGAGGCTTTTATTAAGTCTGTCCTGACAGGGTCTTCCAGCATTAGGGAGGCTAGAAAGACCCCAAATGGCTGGTACAGGCTATTTTTTAAAGGGAAAAACCACAGAAGGAAGGGGTGTCTGGGGTGTACCCGTCCAGCAGGTCCAGTTACTCCAGGGTCTGAAGAGGCACTGCCTGAAAGAACGGGCGGGAGAAAGAAACGAGGCCAAGCAAAATTCACTTGTCAAGGCCTCTCTTTATTAGCGATGGTTGCGGCTTATATAGCCCTTGAATGAGGAATTGGGTTTGGGGTGGGGGGTAGGGGTAAGAAGGAATTTTGCCAGGGTAGCAAAGGTCACTAGTCAGCACACCTGGTAAGCGGAAACATTCTTTTTGTGGCTCCATTAACAAACAGCTCTCAAGGTAGTTGGGATGTGGGGGCTCTCTGCAAACATTCTTAGGACAATAGTCCCTGCTATCAAGATAGTTGGGATGTTAGCAAACAGCTCTCAAGGTAGTGGTGCTTTCTGCAAACATCCTTAGGACAATGGTCCCTGACACTGGGGGGGGGGGGTTGTTCTTTAACTATTATGATTGGCTTATTCAAAAGGGCTATTACCAATAATTGGCTGGAGAGTGGTTGCCAGATCAGATGAGGTAAGGGAAAACATCTGAGGGCCACTTGGCCCCTTTCCCAGGGACTGAGTCAAAACATCAGTCACTGAGTCAATACCTAAGGTTTATCTTGCCCCTATTCAATAACTGAGTTCTATTTGGAGAACATTCACAAGGACTCAGGGAGATGATGGAAAGTTCCCAACATTTCAGTACGTGTGTGGGCAATTGTTAGGTCCTTGGTTCTCATGGGGAAAGGGAGCATTACTGCAGAGACTGAGAGGGCTCAGAATTGTCATAAATGGCTTCAGAATTGTCTTAAAGTTTTAAAGCATGACTGGTATCAAAAAGCTAAAAAGAAGGCCAGTGAGATGACTCAACAGGTAAGTGCTTGCCATGAGGCCTGATGAGCTGACATTGGTCTTCAAGACAAGCAGTGTAGGAGAGAATTAACTCCTCTAAGTTTTCTTCTGGCCACGTGTGTGCCATGGACATTGGTCTGGCTGTCTTTTCTTTTCCTTTCTTTTTCTCTTTTTCTTTTCTTTTGTCAGCTTGACACAAGCTAGAGTCTTCAGAGAGGAAGGAACCTCTCTGAGGAAATGCTTCCATGAGACCCAGCTGTAAGGCATTTTCTCATTTAGTGATCAGTGGGGAAGGGCCCAGCCCATTTTGAATGGTACCATCACTGGGCTGTCGTCCTGGGTTCTTCTATAAGAAGGTGGGCTGAACAAGCCACGGGAAGCAAGCCAGTAAACAGTACTTCTCCATGGCTTCTGCATCCGCTTCTGCCTATTCTCCAAGTTCCAGTCCTATTGGAGTTCCTGTCTTGATTCCTTTGATGATGAACAGCGATGAAGTGTAAGCCACATAAATAAACCCTTTCCTCCCCAATTTGCTCTTTGGTCATTGTGTTTTGTTGCAGCAATAGAAACCCTAACGAAGACAGGCAAACACACGTACACACACACACACACACACACACACACACACACACGTGAATCTGTAAACAAAAATGAGCACGAGTGGGCCTGGCAAGATGGCTCAGTAGATGAAAGTGTTGGCCACCAAGCCTGAGTTCTTGAGCTCAATCCCTGAAACCTGCATGATGGAAGGAGAGAACCTAGTTTTATATCTTGTCCCCCGAGTTCCACTCCTGTGCTGGCATGTGTCCACACACATATGCAGACATGTACATAGTAAAGAAAATACTGGTGAAGTGTGCAAAAAAGAACTGCAAAAAATGTGTGTAGTTCTTCAATAAGTTTTAAAAAAGACTGAAGCAATGGCTCAGAGGTTTAGAGCATTCTTGCAGAGGACCTGGATGAACTCTTGGAGATTTGATGTCCTCTTCTTACCTCTGCAGTCACGTGTACACACGGGGTGCACATACATATACATAAATATAAAATTATATGGGTCTTTTTTTAAGATTTATTTATTTATTGTGTATACAACATTCTGCTTCCATGTGTGTTCACGCGCTAGAAGAGGGCACCAGATCTCATTACAGATGGTTGTGAGCCACCATGTGGTTGCTGGGAATTGAACTCACGACCTCTGGAAGAGCAGCCAGTGCTCTTAACCACTGAGCCATCTCTCCAGCCCCAATATATGGGTCTTAAAATATAAAAAAATACTGTATGATCCAGGAGTCTGTCTTCTAAGTAAATATCTTAGATTACCTACCTACCAGAAATATATATATATATAAAATATTCTTTATAATCTTATTTAAAGATTTATTATCGTTATTTATTATTTTGGGTGTGTCTCTGGTGGTCAGAAGACAGTGTCAGGTCTCTTGGAAGCGTACTAG